CGTCCGAAATGGCTTTTTGAGTCGTTAAGTACCAAGACTTTTCTTCGCACGTTTTTGCCCGTTCCATTTCGTTTTTCCGCCATTTCCCCACTATATAGCGCCCCACTAGCATTTTAGGCCGAGTACCAAATATTCGCGCCAACTGCATTTGAGTGCAAATTTTCCAGTGATAAGATAGCGAACCATACAAGGATCATTGAGCTGAAGCCCAGACCGTAGACCAGGTGCAGATCGGCCTGGGCGTGGGGTCATTTTGTGATGATGTCAGGTGAAGTGATACCAGTTGAAATCTGCTTGTCCTTGAAGCTTGTCAAAATCTTATTAAGAATATTTGTCAACTCTTGTAATGCAGTGGACACGACAAATGGCAAGTAGCGAATGTGCGAAACGCCCCTTATCCCCTCCCCCCCCCCCCCCATGAGCCGAACTACGCCTTTGACTATAAGAATTCTATAGCTTGGTTCCGTAGTTATAGTTACCTTCATTAATCTATTCATTATTTTTCTGTATTATGTGTATATGCTAGAATCATGGTGTCGTTCTGATATAAATAGAAGAATGACGCGGAATGGGTCCGGCTTCCATTTCTCGAACCAACTTTTCACAATTATCCATGCTGTCTTTGCAATGCACTCTTGGGCGCTTGAATGATGATTTTTTTTGCGGCCGTTCACAATAGGAACCCGTCTTGATTGAGAAGTGTTCATTCTTATTGTGGAACGTTTATTGAAGACCAGTTAGGGGGTGTGATTCGTCACGTAACACTTTTCAACACCTATTCTTCGTCAGTGCTCGTTCTTCACACCCTATTTTCACAGTCCCGATGGAACCGTCCTCATTTTGATGAACTCTTGAGCGACTCGAGAATAAGGACGCTGTTCAGTTGGGGGGGGGGGGGGGGGAGTGAGAGGAACAGTACTTTTTCCCTTTCGCTTGTTTCTTTTGCTATTTCCTGTTGAATAACGTCTTAACTTGGTGAAACCTGCAGACTCTTGTCATGTGTAAATGATGCTCCTGCTACTGCACCGCTTGCAGGAATTTGCAGGCCTCTACAGGAGGCATCGGCCGTGAGCAGTGGAAACCAGCAAAATCCCCCCCACTTAGCCGAATCGCGCACGAATAACGTCGATCGTAACCCAGTACCGTTTGGAGGTTCGGTTCAGGACACCCGCGCTGTAACATCGGGCTCAAGCTCGAATTTCTAGCTAGTTGTAAATGACTCTGAACCATGTTCTGCTTTTGGGGAAAAATTTGCAGAGATTTAGCCCCTTCTTCGAAAGATTAGCCCCTTCACTCGGAGGGTTAGAACTTGTATGTGTTGACCCTGCCATTCTCGAACGCCTTTCACCTTACATAGCCATTCCCTACCTATACTGTAAATTTTAGGATTGAACCCTTATTTAACCAATCACATTAATCGAAAAATGTGTTCAAATCCATGATACACAGCCTTCAAGTTTCACTGCCTTTACTTCTAAGGGCCCATTAATGTAAACGTGACGAAAAGGTCTTTTTATTGCATGTGGCATTTTATTCATGCCACTTTAAACTCAGTAAACACATATGCAACCGTCTGGCCTTTGAATCGCATTGCCAAGGTTTTTCGGCCAACTCGAACAGGTTATCGAGTAAGACTCAAGGCGCACGACCAACGATAAGGGTGTGGACGAGAATTAGCCAACTGCCATGACGTCTCTACGACCTATTTCTTCCCACCAAGAGGGCTCGAAACTGTTGACGTTTACTGCGGCTCAATCACTTCAAAACTCTCTTTTTCCCTCCTTCCTAATCGAGAAGCTTCTTGGTCAACCGGATTCTTGGACCGTTTTCTTGGCCCTAGTCTTGAAAGGTGTTCGTTCTAAGCAAATATCCTGAAACTGCCGTGAAGCCCTTCGACGCTTGCTTGCTTCGACGGGGAGACGGCCAGGACAATCGTAAGCTGCCGCTCCGCCGCGCGCGGCCAAGGCTCTTAATTCACATTAATCTGTAGATATCGGAGCACCACATTTCATGTAGACTGTTATATGATATGATTGATATGACGTTTATGCCTATTTCGGCAATATATTCTATACTGCCGCTAGCCACGATTTAGAAACATCGTCATTTACTGGCGCGACGTCGCACGCGGCGTCCACCAGCGCTGCAAATTGCGACTGTCTTCTCACAAACCCGCCGCGACGTCACTCAACACGTGTCGCTTCCGCGCCGCCGATCAGTTATTCGTCGTTGGTGTACGGACAACTTGAGCATGATCCCTTTGAACGCGTCGATTTTCTGTTTTTCTCCGCACTCTCTCGTCTGTATGGCATTTTATAGTCATTGTGACATCATGGTACATACATTCCAGCTTTTCACAGATGATGAGTGGCTCACCCACCTAGGAGATCACTCCTCTTGAAAACGCTCTTCTCCCGGCTCTATACATGTTTTTTTTTGCAGTTTCGATATTTTGGCAGGCGCCGTCCTCTAGTTGTCTGCGTTACGTGATATCGCAATAGGACCCAGCACAAAAGTTCAAGTTGTCACGTCACCGCCGCCGGGAACACTTCGACCACAAGCACTTTACCACTTTTGTGTAGTAATACTCCACAAACGTTACTTTCTGTTATGAGCGGTGCGGTTAGGTAGCGGGAAATCTAGGCCTGGACTGTTTTAGCGCCCTGAATTGATTCTTTGGATCAGGTAGGAGGTTCCCAAAAATGTAAACATCTGTTATTCCAACAAAGTTCGCGCTTGTGTGTGGACTTCCGAAATAATCCCACCTATCAATGGCATAGTTTTAATGGCACGTCGGTTAAAGACACATGGTACGATCACACATAGTTTGGGTGTGCGTGACTATCAGCCCCCCCCCAGCTGTCGAAGCGTAGCGGTTTCCCGTCCTAACATGCGCAGGAATGGAGATACAGGACCGTGAAACACGCTAATTCCTCCATGCTCCGCCCAATGCCTTTTGCGGCGCAGACTCCCGTTTATGCTAACAGCCGTCCGCGGCGCTCTTGGCACTTTGCCAAGTCCTGCAATTGCGCTTTGGAATACAAGTAAAACGCAATTTCCTGATGCGGATAACATTTGAGGTGTTGCTCATGCTGCAAAGTCCGAATAGAAGGTGATGAAGATGACAAAGGCTAGAAATGAAGAACAACGAATGTAGATGTGATAAGGCACTATTTGCCCTTTACTGCCCAACCATTCCAGAATCGGCCAGCTTTTGACCGACTTTTTCTGTGTGGCAGAATGTGGAACAGATTTTGCTCAAATGTTGTCTCCTGGGGTAGTTTGACCTCCAGAATACGAATATCACATTCGCTCAGCCCGAAACTTCCTGGCGCGCCACAGGCGCCAGTGATTTGGGGTATTTTGGCGCCAGCGCCTGTAGCTCGGGCGCCAAGAAGTTTCGGGTGGAGCGGATGTGATATTCGTGTTCAGGAGGTCAAACTACCCCTGAGAACAAGTTTTCAGCGAATTTGGTGATTTAAGGTATTTTGGCGCCGGCGCCTGTGGCGCGGGCGCCAGGAGGTTTCGTGCCGAGCGGATGTGATATTCATGTTCAGGAGGTCGAACTCCCAGGGTACAATTTTCAGCCAATTCTGCCGAGGCAGAAAAAAGTCGGTCAAAAACTGGCTTGTTTCTGGAAGATTGGGGGTAATAAAGGGTAAATAGTGCCTAAAATAAAAATGAAAAAATCAAGTAAATACAAATTAATTGGAAGAATCGGTACATTTCTGCAACTCGGCGCGATTCCGGCTCCAAAGCCATAAAAATACTTTGAACTAACGAGTGGGACGCTCAGGCCGTTTTTATTTTCATGTTTTGTGGGACCTAAAATGTTATCCGCATCAGGAAATTGCGTTTTACTTGTATTCCAGAGCGCAATTACAGGACTTGGCAAAAAGCCAAGAGAGCTGCGCGCGACCGCGCCGCGCGGACGGCTGTTAGCATAAACGGGAGTCTGCGCCGCAAAAGGCATTGGGCGGAGCATGGAAGAATTAGCGTCCTGTATCTCCATTCCTGCGCATGTTAGGAGGGGGAAACCGCTACGCTTCGACAGCTGGGGCTGATAGTCACGCACACCCAAACTATGTGTGATCGTACCATGTGTTTTTTAAGAAGCTTTTGCAGGGCACGTCGTGCGTTGGGATTCCAACGGTGGGGAGAGTTCTATTTGGTCGCTGGAGGAAGTGGACATTGGCCCAGGACAATCCTTTTCTAATTGTTTAATTCACCCCTGCGCGTTGTGTCCTCCCCCCCGCCCCACGTCTATATTTGGCGGTGCAAAACTGCTATTTCTGATAGGTTATCGGAAGTGTTTACCCTCCGCCCGCTCCACGACTTCACATTCACGGGAAAAATAGCAAAACGGTAGGTAGGCTGTGAAAAGGCGTCGCAACGGTGACGCAAATCGGGGGCGAGGGGTTCATATATTATAAAAGCTTACCCCAAGCGGGCCCAGGACGAGCTCTCGGCCTTCATGCACCGATGCTGCTCCCGTGAGTCAGGCAGCTTTTGAGTTCGCGACAGCAGCGCTTCGGTCGCGCGTACGACGCGATGACTACAATTTTCTTGATTCAGCGGTCCATTCAATTACAGCATAGAGACGCAATCAAATCAGACGCGCGACCGAAGCGCTGCCCTCGCGAAGTCTGAACGCGTCCTTAGACAACGCAGCGCGACCACTGAATGTTAGTTCATCGAATTCCTTTGATGACCTTTCCACCGTCTCTTGGAGATTCATTTGTCTTCATGTTCTCTCCTCTTCGTAAATGATGATTCGTGATTATGATGTTCTTTCCAAGGATATGCAATCTTGTTCGTGGCGGATGCTGGGGCGTGTGAGGGGAGTTGGGTTTGGTGCAGCGCCAGTCCAATTTGTGCCAATTGTTGTCACTTATCCTCTTCAACAACTGGTGGAGAACCGCCACTCCAAAACCAATCCCTCTGACACGTCTAAACTTCCGTAGCAAACAAGACAACCAAGGCTGTTTTTTCAGGGCCCAATGATTTTACTGGGTCTTCTAGCGACCGCGCTAGTAGCGCGAGCTGCAGAAGATCCTTGTGGCTCGGCGCCGACTGAAGCCAATAAGATCGTGTGCCGGCAGTTGCACAAATGGGATGTTGCAGCTCGGGTACGTTTTTTTTTGGTCCACAAACGGTCTCACCGTATAATACAGTATTTTCGGCGTATCTTGTCTACAATAGCTGTGTGACGACAATTGACAAATGATTTGGAAAGGATTTGGGTTTTATTTTCAACGCTCAATAGTGCGCAACAATCCTTCATAATACACTGCCGATGAAGAACATTTTTGTGGAACAGTCGTCGTTACGACTGCTTAGCGTGAGCAACTAATGGGCAGGGAGGGGGAGGGGGGGGGAGGGGGGGGTCTCTGACATTAACTCGTGAAGAACGAAATCTTTGCTGCCATCATGCACATTCACATTATCCAAATCGCATATCGCATTTCTAGGACAAATCTAGAGGAGGAGGCGTGGTCAAAAGTCATTTAGGACGTAACCCAAATGGGCCCACAAGCAAAGTGGTAAGACACGGAATAGGGATTTATTGTCTCTGTGTTGTGTTTTCGTTTACTTGAAAAGACAGCTGTCGAAATGCTGCTTGTTCTCTATGTGGCCGATCGAAATTCCAGCACACTTTCAGTACTTTGTGGACTACCATTGAACACATGACTCGAAGGTAGTGTGGTGACAAGTGGCTCGGATGCCATGCCCGCGGTCCGTAGTCAAATCCCAGACCAGTTCCCGTTCTGGCCAATCAAGCCTTGTGCACTTGGGCACGACAGAAGATTCGTCTGGGAGGATAAATACTCTGTCTTTCGTTTTAACTGGACCCAGCAAGTCACTTTATGGGCCACTTCGCATTCAGCAAGCCCTTAGAAACACTTCCACGATGGCTGGAGGCGGACGGTTGCTGCCAGTGTCATCGGTGGAAGGGCTGCAAGTGGGCGTTTGGCCATCCCTCTCTCCCCCCCCCCCTCCCATACCCATTCAGCCCTTGCAACAATCACGCTGGCAACAAGCACCACAGGCGCCCAGCCATCGTACCGACTGCCTTTAATTCTCTTAATAACGGTAGAATGAATGCCACATCTCAAAGGCAGACTGTTCAATCGCGGGAGGTTTATCCGTTGCTTGCAAGCACACCACTTGAAATTCTTCTCGTTACTCCGTAGAAGTACAGTTGAGAGTTTCCTGTCAGAAGTTCAGGTGCGTAATCACTAAGTTACAATTGGTGAGACGAGACGGAGGTGATGTAGTGGCAAGTGGCACGCTCGCGGTTCGGGGTTCAACTCCTGGGTCGGCCTAACAAAGCCCTCTACGCCGCGAGGACGGTAAGTTGGTACCAGAGTGGACTGGGAGGATGAGAATACTGGCCTGCGTATATGCTTGCTCCGCAAGTAATTGTATAGGCCTCATCGCATTCAATAATGCACTACGATTCTGAATGGAAGTAGAATGCGTGCCGCATCCCACAAAGGGATTGATCAACGGCGAAGACTTTATCCTTCATCCCTTGATGGGTGAGACACGTGCTTCCCGCTAGCTTCGCCTTTGACCACGCAACCGCAGTTCAAAGCACCCAGCTTGCTTTTTGGTCGTTCTCTTTGTCACGTTCCAGTCATTGGTTCTTTGCGAACAGTGTAAATTGAAGGTCGAGCACCGACCGACCACGCCATGACCGACCATGGTCTATTCGGCTAATTAGATTCTTTCAGGGGCAGAAACATTGTTCTCACAACCTTGACGCCGTTTTGAATGGCGGTTTATCAACTTTCGGGGGAACCAGGAAGAAAGTAATTACTCCATTTTCCGGGATATGAGGGAATTTATTGGTAAGGCCACAATGACGCACGCGAAAACGCGCGCGAAAAGTTGCTAGAGAGGGCAGCAGTTTTTGTGTGTTTTTCTCTTATTATAAACTTCCAGTTACTCAAGCACCTCTTTGCGAATACGTACCATTCATACATACTCGATATCCCTGGGATGAGGTAGGCGCGGCGCGTACTTCAACAAAACATGGTGATGACTATGCTTCCTGGGACATATTTCCATTTTAAGACAATTGTGATGTCTATCATACAGCAAAATGACAGTTTTCTGCAAGTGAAGTATCCCACGAATAACCTATTCCTGTGCCATGTTCTAGTGCCTACTCCGTCACAAGGATAAGGAGTGTAGATGGGATCAAAGAAAGAACACGCAGAAGTAAAGCGAAAAAGAAACATTCGCGGCGTTCCACGCGAAAGTGGGCCCTATAAATGATGCGCCTTATAAACAAGAAAGTGGGCCCTCAGCCCCAAAGCGGAGTGCGATTTTCGTTTGACATTTCATGGACAGCAGAACTGTAGATGATAAGAGTTATAGTGTGAGCTCGACGCCTTAGTCAACTTTCCAGAGAGTTGAATCTCCGGTGAGTAAAAAGCACTAACGCAAGTGCTCATCAGTCATCAAGAAAATTCTGTAGATACAGAATGTGGCGACTCTGCGCCTAGACAGGTAGCTTCCAAAGTTCGCGATGACGCGCGTCGACGCGCTGTTACTGCAACGGCGCCCCAATGCTATAGACCGGAACACAGCCGCACTGGAGCGTCATTGCGGTAACAGCGCCTAGTGCTACAGAAGGGGAGCAAACTATTGTTCCCTCCTTTCTTCCCCCCCCCTCCCATCCCCGCTTCCAAGACCCCGAGCCGAACTGCGCCCAGACCTGCATCTCAACAGGGAACAAAGATTTTATGTGTACAGCAGCAGGTTTGAGAACAATGGCGCATGACTATTCGGAACCCAAATGGAAACATTTAATATTGTTCCAGATATTTTGCAGAGTTGGCCTCCTCTGCTATATAAAATTTTTTAGAGCTGAATCACACTGTCACAGGCAAGTATCAACAGTGATTGCAAGTTTCTCATAGAGACATATGCAAATTCATATATGCCCGAAACTGATTCATAGTTAATAACAAGGAGGGTTTCGATGATTGATCGCTTCGAGGGTCGAGTGACCGGAAATGTTGTCAAGATAGGGTTTCACCATCTTCGAAACCTCGTATAACGTGGGCGAAGCTCTCTGCTACATTCTGTACACTCCTAACGTCGCACCGCTACCTGTCTTAACGGAAGTTCTCTGAGCTTCATGCCTTGAGCGATTTTCTCATAAAAGACCTTGAATCACCCCTCTAGTCCTGTATAGAACCAACTTGTAAAAGGAGTGAAAATTCAAAACTGTCTTTTTTATCGTGTTGTACATCATGATAATTCCCCTTCGCAT